AAATTTTTTACGCTTCCCCCAAAATGAAATACATATTTTGTCCTAACTAATCTAAAGAACAATACAGAGTATTTGAACCAAGCAAAACAGTAAGATTTAAGGTTCATACACTTAGCGACAATATACATACATATGTGTGTGTAAGTCTATATACACCGACGCATACATACACACACACATCTGGTCAGCTATAGTTATCAGAAACTCCATCCACATTACAAGCAGCTCAGCATACAGCGTTTACATGGATTTTAAACACTCAGTTCCTGTGAGCTCCCTCCTGAAGATTTTGTACAACAGCAGTGAAAGTAGGAAAATCCAAATCAAGTAGGTTAAATAGAACAGTGACCTTTTTGGTTACTAAATGTCACTGTTTCTGTACTCCTCTTAGAGGCCTAGATATGGGCAGATCAGAAAGCAAAGCAATGGGTTCTTTTATTTTCCAGTGTCATGACACTGTACCTATCTCTGCACACAGATTACGTATTCAAATAGTGGAAAAAATGTGCTATTTTCATAGAATTATAGAATAGTCGTGTTGGAAGAGACCTTTAAAGGCCATCTAAGTCCAATCCCCTGCACTGAGCAGGGACATCTTCAACTCAAGCAGGTTGCTCAGAGCCCCATCCAACCTGACCTTGAATGTTTCCAGGGATGGGGCATCGGCCACCTCTCTGGGAAACCTGTGCCAGTGCTTCACCACCCTCACCGTAAACAAATTTCTTCCTATATCTAGTCTGAATCTGACCCCTTCTAGTTTAAAGTTATTACCCTTTGTCCTGTCCCAAGAGGCCCTACTAAAAATATTGTCCCCAGAACCATAAGTCATATCATCTTCACTCCTTTAAAAGTATTAAATATTTAAGTTCTATCACTGATTGCTTGGTAACAAAAAACAGGTGATTTTTAGGTTGGCATAGAATTCTTAAGCAGGTTATCATTACTACCACAAAAAACACCCAATATAAATAACAAATTCTGATAGCTTCCATACCAGTATTATTTGTATCCCTTTTCCTTTTCAATTTGAGAGAAATCTCCTGCATTTTCAAAAATCTTATTCTTTTGTTAGCATTTAAAGGGTTAGAATATCAGAATCCAACTACTCATAGCATAACATAGTATTACAGTAAAGCAAAGAACACACCAGACATCTATCTATTTCAAATTCATTTTAGGTACAGCCTTTCCTTTATCCACATAAATACCTTTTTCTCCATAGTCTCAGCTTCTAGTTCTATTAAGACTATCCCCTTGCTCTCACCTTGATAGCAAAAATTACAAGGATATCACAGCCCTTTGCAGTATAGCGAACTTCAGACCTACAAACTAAAATTACTGCACAACCCTCATAATTCAAACTATTCAAGCTTCCCCACGCACAGTTTCTTCCTAGTAGTAGCATGGACTCTCTGTGGTCAGAAGGAACCGAGGAAGATTGCCAATATTTTACAAACCAATTTTCTACAACTGTCTCTAAGTTGTGCTTCACTTTGCCCTTCCATTTCTCACTGTTCTCTTCCTCCCCTCATTTTTTTTTTTCAGCTGAGTTATTTTATCTTGGAACAACATAGCATCCCTCTTCAGGCAGTGTTTTAATCGCTCCAGGCTTCCTCGGTATTACATTCCAGTAGCTATTGTTTAACTCAAAGACAAATACAAACCTCACAATGTATGTCAACAATATTACTGAAGCCATTTCTTGGAACTTTTATTTGAAACAAAGTTGGTCTTTCAAACCATAATCCAAGTAAGAAGTTTGCCAAAATGCATGAGATGAACATTTCAGCCTATTCACAGATACGAAGAAACGCTGTAATTTTTGTTTGGCAGGTGTCCAGGGCAATACTACTAAATAAAGAAGTGCCTTCGTGTGGTGGGTTGACCTTGGTGGATGCCAGGTGCCCACCAAAGCCACTCTATCACTCCCTCTCCTCAACTGGACAGGGGAGAAAAACATAGAATGCAAGGCTCATGACCCAGGCTCGTGGGTAGAGATAAGGACAGGGAGAGATCATTCAGCAATTACCGTCACGGGCACAACAGACTCAACTTTGGAGATAATTTTAATTTATGACCAATCAAATCAGAGTAGGGTAATGAGAAATAAAAACTATATCTTAAAACACCTTCCCCCCACCCCTCCCTTCTTCTCAGACTTAACTTCACTCCCATATTCTCTACCTCCTCCCTTGCAGTGGCACAGGGGGACGGGGAACGGGGGGGTTGACGTCAGTTCATCAGATGTTGTGTCACATTTTCCCTGCTCCCGTGTGGAGACCCTCCCATGGGATACAGCCCTCCATGAACTTCTCCACTGTGGGTCCTTCCCACGGGCTGCATTTCTTCACTAACTGCTCCAGCGTGGGTCCCTCGCAGGGTCATAAGCCCTGCAGCAAACCTGCTCCAGCGCAGGCTCCCCACAGGGTCACAGCCTCCTTCAGGCATCCGCCTGCTCCAGCGTGGGGTCACCACAGGCTGCAGGGGAATCTGCTCCAGTGCCTGGGGCACCCCCTGCCCTCCTTCTGCACTGACCTTGGGGTCTGCAGAGCTGGTTCTCTTACACATTCTCACTCCTCTCTGGCTGCTGGTGTTGCACAGCAGCTTTTTCCCCTTCTTAAATGTGCCTCCCAGAGGCACTACCATCATCACTGATGGGCTCAGCCTTGGCCAGTAGCAGGCTGGTCATGGAGCCGCCTGGCACTGGCTCTGTTGGCCATGGGGAAGCTTCTGGCAGCTTCTCATAGAAGCCACCCCTGTAGCCATCCCGCTACCAAAACCTTGCCACGCAGACCCCATATACTACTGTTACCATTTATAGGTACTGACCTACTGAAAGCATCTGCGGTAATGACTAGCATTTGAACTTTCACTACAGTAAAATAACTTGTCCACAAAGCTGACTAGGCACAGTAGCATGATAAATAACGTTAATTAGATTCCTTAGATGATTCTTCTGATAGTTTGGGAATAATAAAAATTTCTGCTTGTGCTGATCCAACAACAAGCAAGTATTTCCATTTGGTCTCTTAATATATTTTAAGATGTGACCTTACAGCATAGCTTCTAGCCTGAGTACCAATTATAAAATCCTAATCACAGCTCTGCCACATCCATTTGTGCACCTCTGTACGCTTCTTAAGGCTTCAAATTTATAGTTTGTAAAAGGGAAAAATTTCTATTACCCACCTAACAATTGTGTAGATCGTTCTTTCACATCAGAAAGGCTATGGTGCTACATCAGTAGTCTTGAACATAAGAAAACACTGAAGGTGGTCAAACACTGACAGCTTTGCCCAGGGAAGTCGGGGAGTCCCTTTTCACAAGGAACTCAAAACCTGACTGCATGCAGTCTTGGACAACCTGGTCTAGCTGACCCTATTTGAGAAGGCAGTTGAACTAGGTGAACTTAAGTGGTCCTTTCCAACCTAAAAAATTCTGTGATTATTTCTATGTTAGAAAACATTTTTTTCTAATATCTGGGAAAAAAACCACCACAAAACAAATTATTTTCTACTCTGAAGCTCTGCCAGTTTCTTCTTGTCATGGACCAGATGCCTGCTTACAAAGTTCTATTAAAACAGTAAATTTTTTCCCCTGTTATTTAAGAATACAATAATGTGTGCAACGTTATAGTAAGTATAATGAGCTAGAATAGAAAGCAGTCCCAGAAAGAAAATCACTAAGTGAAAGTTTATAGCTAGAGCTTTCTCTCTCCCTCTTCTCAAAGAAATAGTTTTAACAATAAAAAAGAAATAGATTAGCAGGAAGGAAGTGTAACTCATTTGTAGGTAAAATGGTTCCCCTTTGTCCAATTCAATACCGTTGTCAGTATTACTGTTGTCTTCTTCATCTGACACTGGGGAGAGAGAAATTCTTACAGGAAGAAAACAGAAAAGATCGCTTAATTCACATACACCAGAGATCTAAGCATTTGAAATGGAGAAAAATAAGGAGTACGGGATGTAGAAGTGATAGAAAAAAAAAGTACATACCACGTGCCATTCCCCCACCCCCCATTAGATCAGCTGTTACTTTCTAAGAAAATTTCTTCAGAGGCATATGATCCCCATAGAAGAAGCAAGAGCAACAAAAGTGAAGCTAACTTCACAACAGACTTAATTGCTTTTTTGAAGGGAGTACAGAACATGGCTGGTTATGCTAGATACGCTACACTCATTTAATTGGGTCTTTTCCGGTTTTATTTCCTAGGTGTCTAGCTACTACCACTTCAGGTTTAAATAAGCAAAATATGTAGAGGTTATTTCTCTAAAGTAAGGAAAGAAAGGAAATTCATGCTTGTACCACCCACAATTCTTGATCCTCATCCTATAGTTACGGCTTGCAATTAGTAAGCTAAAAAGCTAGAAGGAGAAAAAAACACCCAGGAAAAAAATACTTTCATATGTGCTAGTTTTTTATTTGCTGTTCCATGGGATTTGGCCATTAAAAAGGAAGAGAAGAACAAAGTTGAAAGCAGAAGTAGGTGACATTATGTGGCAACAACTGACAATTATATAAAATAGATGAGTATAAAACTGAATACACTTATCTTGAATGTTTATTCTTAATAGGTGAAGGAACAATCGTACAAAAAGACCTCCAAGTTCTTCCTCTTTCAAAGACTAGATGCTAAAAGAAATACTCACAGACTGCTGAATAATTCTTTGAAGTCTTCGATGGGACTTACAGAAGTCTTCCATTTTGTGTTACTAAACACATACAATATTTCTTACTTAAGAACACTTTAAAATTGGGTTTTTTTACAATGAAGCTTTCAGATCTGAAGGCAGAATTTCAAAACTGCTGAAATTTCCAACATAGCCCATGTGAACCTCACATGATCAGTGAACCTGCAGTTAGCAGACCCCCCACCAGATAAAATGAATCTAACAATTCTTATACTGATTATGATTTTTTCCTAATGGACCGAAATGCAGGCAACATATCTCCCAAGATATCTGAGAAGTAAAGTACAATGAGAAGAGTACTGTTCTTACCACATACAGCTGTTTCCAGAGCACAGCCCATTCCTGCAGTGTTGCTGTGACTTCAGTCACAACAGAATCTTCAAGTGGAACAACTGTTTCATATTGCCTATACAAGAAGAGGGGAAATAATTAGGAAAAGTACCCTGGAAAAAGTAGAAAATGAAATAAATGTCAGCATAGTAATTTGTAAAGTGTTAGAACTTCAATCTGTTTGAATTTATTCAACAAAAAGAAAAATATCTTAAGAGGAAAATTTTGTCTGTTATAACACTGAAGCCACTCCAGAACCCCATCAACTGTTCCTCCATCCCATTCCATAAGCATCAGTTTATGTGAAGCATTTCCTAGTTATCTGTTTAACATACATAATTTCATTCTAATCAAGGTCAAAGGAAACACTTTTCATGATGACAGCATGTTGAATTAACTTGCCTGTAAAGTGGGGTCCTTCACAGTTTGTGTCCCTTCTCTCTAGGCCAGTTCAACCCTTTTTTACCTCCAATTAATATGTTAGCCAATATCATTAACTACCCAAAAGATCTACAATCTATTAACCTTTCCCATCCAGCAGACTTTTCCAATATTGCATATGAAACCCGAGTGAGCTATCCTCTAATCAAAAGAATAGGACTTGTCCCTTTGTGGTCAAGTTCCTCCATACCTATTAAAGGAGAATCACAGAACAGTTTGGGTTGGAAGGACCTTTAAAGGCCATCTAAGTCCAACCCCCCTGGACTGAGCACGGACATCTTCAACTCAATCAGGCTGCTCAGAGCCCCATCCAACCTGACCTTGAATGTTTCCAGGGATGGGGCATCGACCATCTCTCCGGGCAACCTGTGCCAGTGTCTCACCACCCTCACTGTAAAAAAATTTCTTCCTACATCTGGTCTGAATCTGCCCCCCTTTAGTTTAATACCATTACCCCTTCTCCTATTACAAGAGGCCCTACTAAAAAGTCTGTCTTCATCTTTCTTTTAAGCCACCTTTAAGTACTGGAAGGCTGCTATAAGGTCTCCCTGGAGCCTTCTCTTCTCCAGGCTGAACAGCCCCAACTCTCTCAGCCTTTCCTCACAGAAGAGGTGCTCCAGCCCATTTTTGTGACCCTTCTCTGGACCAGCTCCAACAGGTCCATGTCCTTTCATCACAATAAATGCAAGAATGTGATAACTAATGTAAATATTAATACCATTATATTATCTGAGCCTTTAGTGCCTTGACTTGCCTTTTATGTTGAGTATTACAGAAACAAGTGTCAGACGCTGGAAAAATAAGGTCTATTTCAAGCCTCTGCTCTTTCAGTAATTTTTTAAAAAGAGGGAGAATTAAGAAAAAAACAAAACAACAACACGTTTCTGAAACAGACCGTGTTGCAACAAGTTTCCATAGGTCCTAAAGTAGCGGTACTGAAAACACTAGCTCAAAAGGTGGTTTGGGACAAGTAGTGTCAAGTAAGAGACAGCATCTGCATCACATCCAACAACCATGAAGGGCACTGGGCTCTTCCTCTTCGGCAGTACAACTGTGCATACAGATATTCTGAAATTCTCCTGAAGGAAAGTTACAAACTCCATAACTAGTTTAGGCCATTTTTCTGTCCTTTGTGCAGAGTTAAATGAGTGCTAACAAGTAAATACGTGAACAATGAGATGTAATTAATTCTGAAAAGTGTTGGTTTTTTTTTTTGTTTAATTTTAAAAGAGAACATGGTTAAATCATTAAAAAAAAAAAAAAAAGCCACACACTTTCATGTCAATATTTCTCTTTTGAAAATTCTAACTAGAAATAATTGTGTCACGTTAGCTGAAGCCAAAAGTAACAAACAATGGGGGACAGGATGATGAAGTTAAGTCACTGTATGTCTCTATGTATTCTTGGAGGAGAAAATTTATCAAACAAAAGCTTCAACACTTCCTTTCCAAGCTATCAAAAACTCTTATTCACTTCAAAGATGTAAGTAAATCTTATACTAAGATCCAAAATATACATATATTCGACACATCACTATCTTAAAAACCTGGCATAGTTACCTTAGGTATGCATTCAACCCACTAAAGCTGGGACTGCGAAGCACCAGTTCATATATGTACATATCAGGGGACCAAGACAGATCACCATTTTTTTTCTATTCTTATGCCAATGACCTTATCATTCCCACATTTTATTATGAGAAACTGAAACACTGACAGACACCTAGCATCTGAGATTGTGCTCTATTCTAGTCCTGCAATGTTCTGGTTTGGTTGTTTTTTTGTTTTTTGTCATCCCTCGTGTCCCCCCCTGCCAAATCTGGCCACAGTAAGACTATGAAATCTCAATCTCAATTTACGCTTTAACAAATCACCACAAAGTATGCTTGTGATCTGAAGTATGATGGCTAAGAATATGATGAAAATCCTATTCTTTAGCTCATATTCAATGATCATTTCAATAGTTAGACAAAAATTCTGCATTTAGTATATACCATCAAAAGTTTGCTTGACACTAACAACATTAAAAATAATGCCACAACCACTTCCAGCTGAAAATTCCGTTCTTTTCAGATCTCTGTAAAATGCCATTAGAGGTAAGGCATTCAAAATAGTTCAACATCCCTGTAAGAAACCATGGAAAACTAAAGGATGAAAAGAATCGCACAATACCCTGTAGCTGGTGGGAAAAATGAAAACCAAAGAAAGATGTAAAAGATCAGCCTTCAACAGTATGGCTGGATTTAAAGAAAGTGCATATCAGGACTACATTTAACCATGCAAATTTAATGCTTTGCGTGCATTCCTATAACCCTGCACTTCCTGCAGTATACCCACATATTAATGACATTACATTGGGTCTATGACTCAAATAGAAGAACAGTACATACTATGCTTTATTATTTCACAAGTGTTTATATTGGCACTTTGAATATATTCTTAAATACAGGGGCAGAAATTCTTTTACCAAAACATGAAATAACCATGATCTCTGATTGAGAACTGTGTTATGTTCTGTTGTATCAATTGGTATGCCAGTCTTTGATACTTATTTTTAAAAAGTACATCAACTTCACTACTAAGTATCTAAATATGTTGAACTGGTTGCCCTTTACAAATTCTGAACTAACATCAAGTACTAATTAACCACAGATTACAAGAAACTGGTCTTCCCCCTAAGGAGAGTATACATTAGGAGTAGTCATTCTGTGCAATATCTGTAACTTTATTACACCCTAAAGTTATGAAGCATCAGTATTGCAGTTACCCTTACAATCTTTACTCCGTCCCTTTGAGGATAAACATACAATTCAAGACCATAAGAAGTCACATATTTTTCTACAGGTACTTTACTAAGTGCTATTTACTACATTATATCATCCACATTTAATTTATTCCCTTGGGTCACTGTGTGAAATGATGCACTTATATATCTCCCCACAGTGGCCTTAATCTAGAATATGCAGGTAAGAGTCGCAGTGAAGAGACAAGGTATCAATTTCAGGAGTCTCAGTCAATCTCACAGGAATCTTCACAGGTCATGGAGTCTACACAAAGTACAAATGCTGACATTATGTTGCCATCAGTATTGCTATTCACACTGACTAAATTAAACCTACCTCTAGAAACCTATGAGCTACATACAAAAACAGTGAAGGTAAAACAATTTCAAGCATAATGTACTTCAGTCATTCTCTGGCTTGAGGTGTAGAGGGTTGGATCCTTTCAAAAAGTTTTAAAGTAACATAGCTACCTTGTCAGCTATGCTTCAGTGAAAAATCTGTTGATAAACGAGATGGACTGTCTGCATGTTGGTGCCTCCATAACAAACAGGAACATAAAGAATTGTGCCAGTGAGAAAACAAGCAGAAATGAAAAATATAAACAAAGGTCTTTAAAATGAGTATGTTTCAGATGATACCTCTGCAGTTACAATTTTATGAGCAAAGGTCAACAGGAGTAACCAGCAGAATTGATTCTTGCTATATTAAAAAAAAAAAACCAAAGCACTGCAGAATTATATTTAATTTTCAAACCCTAATACACAACAAAAGATACAATGAACTAAAACCACTCTATAAATTTCAATAACTACTTCTTTGATTCCCTTCTAGATGACATGCACTGCAGCTTCTGAGAAAGAAGGAATACTCACCCTCTGTTACTGACAATTGCCTTTTTCAAGTGAATATAGTTTGCAGGAAAAATCCCCTGCAAGAAAAAAAAGTCTATAAGTTAGAAAAATACATTTACAGTTTTTAGCATTTATATTTTAAGCCACAGTAAATAATTGCCAATATACCTATTAAAAAAAAAACTCTTAAGACTGCGCCAAAGAAGCTGCCACAGTCAAAAGTCAATATTCAAATTAGTCACAACTGAACATTTTAATCCATCTCGGAAGAGGACGGCACACTGAATCAAGCATCCGTCTTGAAAGATCAATTTCTTACTAAGGAAGTTTTGCAAGTCCATTCAATAAAAATACCATACAGAGATTCAAGCTGAGTACGTTTCATTCCCAAAAGCTCCTGAGGTGTTCAGAAACACTGTTGCATGGGAAATATGCTCTGGTATAAAAATAACGGGTGAGTCAACTAGGACCACATGCAAAGGTGTCACCTCTAATCCTACACAACGGCCTTAGAGGGGAGAGGATTGATTTAAGAGAAAGCATTTAAATGTAGCCAATTGTCTTCCTACTGCAAAAACTGTGTGAGCCCAATAATCCACCAACAGGTGATGGGCAAGCAGGAAAAAGGAGTGACAAGCAGAAGGAGTTCAGAGAACAGCTTGCAGTTAGCAGAAAGGAATGAGTAACAGATCAAAGTACCAGGAATATTTACTGGAGAGATGTACGCTACCAGGACAGCCAGAGAAGTGGCCATCGTGCAGTTTGCAGCACACGAGCAGCATGCTTCCAGACCAGATGTCTGTATTGGTATGCTACATTACATTAGATGACAAGGACATAGGTTTAAAAAAAAAAACCAGCAAAACAAAATGTCCACCATCAAATTTGCGTCTAGCCCGCAGACCAGTCTTTCATTAAGGAAAGAAGTATTCTATTATTTGTGCACCCTGGAGCTATCCTTTTTCCTCCCTCTTTCCAACAACAAGCTGTTTAAACCCACTTGGGATAGCTCCGGTTATTTGCCTTCTTCTGTCCCCGTGACGGCTGGATTCTAACTTTGCCTGTGCCATTGTGTTCTTGTATGACGGGACATGGGGAAAAGAGTTAATCTAAACCAAACTTTTCATAACGTTCCATCATCTCTGTAAAACACATGGCCCTGAATCCTCAGAACAATCCCAGTCAGTCTGTAAGAATGGTAAGCCTGCACTTCAGCGGGGAATACAGGATCAGCACTGGTAATCTGCAGGTTAAAAACCCGCTGACAACCTCTCACAGAAAAGTCAGTAACCAAGGGAGGGCTTTAAATTTTTAGAGCTTTAAAACAGTACAATTTAGGAAGAAAAATTTTCAGGTGGATGTTGAAAGTAATACTAAGCAAAGATGAATCCAAACGCTAAGGAAAATTCCTTCCTTTTCATAGGCAAAACTGAAATTGCAGAAGGAAAAAAGATGAATCTAACAGGAATGGCTTCATCGGAGGGTGGGGGGGAGGCAAACATGCATGCTTTCAGCCACGCAAAAATCTTGAAAAGGAAGAAATGCTACTTCAGTATCTTGTTTGGTTCACGTCCAATCAGTGCTGTTTACTTCTGTGATTCTGTGCTGGTTACCTAAGAAACCAAGAAGGTTTGAAGGGCTCTCCGATCAAAAGTGAACATATATACAAGCAGAAGATGTACCAACACACACAATTAATGTAGGGTTTTCCATCAAAAGAGAATAATAGCCATGAAAACATAATACAGGTAATATTATATTCTATAATACAGGTAAAGATGAGGAATCTGGTACTTTTCTCTTTTTAAATACAAGCTATATTTAAAACATAAGACAGTGAAGTGATGCTTACATAGAAGGAACTATTTACATATTTGGATACATACATTTACAAAAATATACATGCACTCACAAAAAATTCATATCAGAACAGCCAAAAAAGTTCTCTAAGAGCAAAACAGGGCTGTGACTGGAAAATAACCAAATGCAGTGGTTAAACTGTAAAAATCTGAAAAAAGAACAAACTTACAATATCCTTTTTCATCACACTTTTTTCAAATAGATTAGTAGTGCAATTTATTAATAATTAATTAATAATGCAAATTCTTAGATATGTTCTTCAAAAATTCTGAATTAGGCAAAGCAAGATCACCCATCTACGTTTTTCTTAGAGGAGTAGGGTGGAGAGGATCAAATTGGGTGAGATTTATAAATGTTGGAAAGACTACATGTCACCCGTCAGGAAGGGTTCTGATCCTTTGGGTGACTAATGAGCATCATTCTCTCAATTTAGAAAATAAACCAAATCCTCCCACAGGAAAAAATTTAGAGAAGTATGATCCTAAGGGTAATGAAAACTAGTAGTTTACAGGGTTGTAACAGCAAAGTAGATATAATCTCCCACTAAATTAAAAAAATGCATTCACACTTACCTTTACATTGGGCTTCTTAATGGAAACACCTCTGTACCAGCCTAAAACCAGACAGAAAACATTCTATTAATCTGTGGCACTTCTTCCTTTACACAGAAGCAAACTGACTGAAAATTATGCAGTTACTGAGATCATCTCAAAAACCAGCTGTGACTCACACAGGTCAAATTTGTTCAAAGGTTTTTTTTGGGGGGTTGGGGTTTTTTTTTTGCTCTGCAACGATGACAAGCAATTAAGAATCTGGAATGCTCCTGTTTATTCCCACCAGGAATAAAAGCAGCTTGGTACACTTGATCACTGTACTCACAATCACTAACTACTTTGGAAAGACACATTCAAGCACGCATGCAAGAACCTGTACCGAACACTTTCTTACATGCTGGTACATGAGTCTCTTCATAGTGTTTATCTTAAAAAATCTCCAGACTTCAAAAACCTGTCCTCTTAAAGACAGGAAAAGCCGTTATCAAACATTACTAATATTGTTTAAACTAACATAAATCCTTTGCATATGTCCAGTCTTGTGTATGTCTGTAAGACTAGAGAACAGATTTCAGGACGTAATTTCACAAATCCAATCATTATTGTTGTATCCCCCACCAGATAACCAACCCCAGACAGGAAAATAAATCAGGAGTAAATGGCAGAGCTGAAAAAGCTACACGTTAAACAGAACCACCCAATTACTCCTGTTTTACACAGGTGAAAGTAATGTCACTCCAGGCAAGATTCATCAGGAAAAAAAGTGCTGAGAGCACCATCCAGTTTAACAATGGAAAAGGAGCACACTTCAGTCGTTGTGGTAGATGAGCTGCTCTTCCACTCCATAAGACACACAAAACAACATGGAATTCTTGCTAAAAATATGCCACTCCCTTCATACCAGGGTCTAATGCTTCAGCCCCAGAACATAAAGCTAAACCTTCAGACCTGAGCCTGGAACACCCCACAGGAGCATGGGCTGGGGTGCAGGTTCTGTGGAGAAGGCCTGGCCATCCGAAATTTGTGGGCAAAGCTGGCCAGGCCCAGCTGCCACGAAAGCAGCGAGTGCCAAGTGCCTGCACGTCACTCTTCGAGCTGACAGATGCAGATGCAGACAGGCAACAACCCAAACTGCCAAACCCAACAATTTCACATAATCTAAATCCACTTTCCATAAAAATTCCTCTAATTTTTCCAGTCACTTCCTACTTCTAACATTATTTTTTTTCCTACAGAGGACGGATATAATTTAGGATCTGCAGCATTTAAAAGAGCGCTAGGAAAACTTATCAGTAATTTGCTATGGAGAATAGAGAAGCACAGAACAAAGTCACTGTGTATTTTATCTCTCAGAAAAAGGACTTTGTGTTTGGCTGAATAATGACACAAGGCCCGGAAGTGGGGAAGAGGCTCTTGATTTGGTTTTAAAGACAGCCTGCTAGTCTTGGGGTTTTCTTTGTTGTTTTGTTGTTTTTTTTAAGGAAATAAAATAAATATAAAATAAAATAATTAATGAATTCAAGACATCTGCATATCTTAGTATGGAAAAAATTAGACCCCATCTTCTTTATTACACAAATTTTTCATGAAGATGGGGCACATCATAAAGATTTCTTTTGCCATGAAATATTTGCTTATATTAAAAACCAAAATTTTGTTTTCAATTTATTTCTTAGTTGATCAAACTTCACGGCAATCACATCAATGGAAACATATATGCACAAACAACACATACAGATCCTTAAAATGAGTAATTTCTAAAACTCCATACAACTGTGCCTGCAACACCTGCTTTTGAGTAACAGATGCTACATATTTTTAAGGCCACAGAAAAAAATAAACGCATTTGCCCTGTGATTCATTGTTACCAATATTAAATACAGCATGCTGCTAACTTCTATATTCATAGACTGCGTACCTTGGAAATAAACATCCATTTTAAGCTTTAAGACAAACAGAATGGCAAACTTCTCAGTAAATATGGAAAAAAATTGTTTTATCTAAGTTTGTGAACAGAACTGTAAAAGTAAGAATAAAAAATGATAAAGCAGGTGACTATTAATGGTTCAGATATGTAGGGTAGGGGATGAAACACATTTCCAAGTGATTCTTCCGAGTTTCCTGTTCTTAATCCCAAAACAAATCTTCAAAGATCAAAAGGTATGTGTTTACAGAGCTGTAAAAACCAGGAACAGAAAGACTGCTGAGAAATCATCTAGCTCATCCAAGCGATGTCTCTAAACCTCTCCGTGCAGATGTTCAGCCTGTTTTTAACAGTGTCCAATAAATAATCATCAGGACGGAATAACACAGCACTCCTTGCCTGTAGAAAATGATCCATACAGCTTCCTCAAAACTTGTATCCCAAGGTATTTCTGCATAGTGTTCCAAGGAAACAGAGTACATTTCTGCTACTCTACACAGACCAATCTGAAATTGGTGGTGTCGTACAGGCATATTTTTAGAAGAAATTTCTTCCTTGAATCAACAATGGCCAAGAAAACTGCATGTAACAGAAACATTTCCATATAGTGCTTGAAAATCTAGAATATTTACATCAAGTGGAGATGGCAGATCCTCAGTGGACAACATATTTCAGTGGCCCAGACAACATATGTGCACTTTACAACCTGAACGTTTTTTGCTGCTATTCAAATCCAGGATTTTTGCTTTTGGAGAACGTGGAAAACATTTTGTTGACTTCCCTTTTGCAGGTACTTTTATACACCAAAGTGGTATGTTTCCCTTTAATCTTGTAGATTGTGCTCTCTGGATCTTAGTTTTCCTTTCTTTCACTCTTCTTTTTTCAGTGTGGTATAATATTTTTAGAATCATCCTTCTCTGTTTTAAGTTTCCTCCAACTCCACACAAGCAAGATATAGCAGAAAGAGGAGCTCACCAGAACCTGAAAGTACTAAATTGCAAAATGTAATTCCTTATTTGCTTACAATGAACAGCACCAAAACATCATTCTGTATCTGAAAGCAAAAGCTATGAGAAAAGGTACAATGCATTTTTTAAAAAACACATTTAGAAAATTGCAGCTGCATTATGTTATTCACTAAAATGAACTAAACCTTTATTCTAGAATTAGTCTGAAACAGATTAATATTGATCTAATCATGTATTTTAAAGGAAATTTCTTTTGGAGGGTTTAATCACAACATTCATCAAATCCAGGCAGGTGCTTCAGCTGTGATCACAACATGCACTACATGGTTAGACCCCAATATTGACTAATGTTTTTAGATGTTACTATACTACAGACAATACTCTAGAATTATGGGATTCATTTTCTAGCGATACATGGCCTTTAAAGCATACTGACTTATAGGAAATAATGAAAAAGGTGCGACTTAAAATTAAGAAGCAAAGAACTATGGCTGTGAATTGACAAGAATTTTGTGAATAAGTTAATGTGAAACAACAGTCATGAGTATCTGCCATTGGAACAGATTAACTGTCTAGTAATTATCAGTAACTAATAAGAATTTGAGGACAGATGAAATTAAGGCGTAAAACCAGAGCTGGAATACCTACAAATCCCTGCAGAGAAAGACTGTGCTTTATGCACATGCACACACACAGACCCCTGTTTGCTTTCCGACAGCTAAGAATATTCTCAAACTGCTTCACCTAGAGGATGACCTAAGGAAAGGGAGACAGATAATTCTAACTGTTTTTCAAAAAATGAATCACCATTCTGGGTCTAGCTGGAAAAGAGTTAGGAAAGAGTTACCTTTCTTCACAGCAGCCTGCGTGGTCCTGTGTTTTGGATTTGTGACTATACCACTGCTGGGTAAGAGACCAACATTTTGGCCATTGCTGAACAGTGCTCGTACATCAAGGCCTTCTCTTTTTCCCCAGGGGCCGCCCCGAGCAAGCAGGCTCGGGGTAGGCAAGAACTTGGGAGGGAACGTAGCTGGGACAGCTGACCTGAATCGGCCAAAGGGATATTCCACACCATGTATCATAATTTGCTGTAAGAAAACTAAAAATTAGTCTATTAGAAGCACCATTCTAAGCAGTGTCCTGTTCAGGATAGGAAGGAGAACACAAGGTATATCCCACACAAGCCTGATGAATTTCAAGTATTTTACCATAGTCAAACAGATAAAATGACAAAGACATCCTAGAACGGACAAAAATACCTTCAATGATACAGATGATGCTCTAAGCAAACATTTTTTTCTTTTTTTCTTTGATCACACAGGAATACTCATCCTATGCCTACACCATAGCACAGTAACAACTTAAGAAAGCACTGTTATGTCTGAACATCTGTGAGAAGCTGGGGATGAATGCAGCCATTTGGATTGCATCTTAATGTTGTGTCGATGCGTATTTCTGGATAAGTGTCATGAGAAAGCCACATACATGATAAATTTTGATGAATGGAGGTGTAAAGCTTTTGTTTGTTTGTTTTAGAGAAACTGATAGTATGATAGACATAGTGTCACAGTAAAACAGAAACTCTCAGTGCAGGAATTACATACACTTTCCTAATCTAACTGATTTTGAACACCTCACGCTTTACATTCTCAGTATGCCTAAGACAAAGGTTTAATCCAAGTACTGTAGAAGAAAATTGAATGAATCATATTCATTCCAGTGTGTTCCGGACAATTCACTGTATCTCAAAGCCCTACTCCAACTTTGCTTTTAGGTGGACTGTACTGCACAGTGTAGCAGATAAACCAAGCAGACTACCTGAAGCAGTACCGCCACACTGCACAGAGATCCATGCCAGCTGAACCTACCAGCACTTAAACATTACGTTTCTCAGGTGAAACACAGAACCCAGGAAAAAACACAGCTTTTGTCAATGCCATCTAATGATATTTGATACAAGCTAAGAAAAATGAAGAGTAGGCTGACCTACAGCTCTGCCCTCTGAGGGATTATTTGCTGTGTAGGGTATACAAAGAGCTGTAAGAAGAATTCCATCCATGGTAATAAAACTGGAGAAAAACAAAGCGAAAATATCCCATTATACCTGTTCCCTCTGCACATTAAGACCACCACTTGCTCAAAATTTTTTCTTCAAAATGCATTGCCT